CTCCTACTACAATGGAATTAAATAAGAAGTCAGTAACATAAAGATAACTGAAAATCCCCAAATATTTGGAAACTAAATAATTTACTTTTTTTAAATTTTATTTATTTATTTGAGAGAGGGAGAGAGCGCAGAAGCAGGGGGAACGGCAAGCAGAGGGGGAAGCAGACTACCCTCTGAGCGGGGAGCTGGATGCGGGGCTCAGTCCCAGAACGCTGGGATCATGACCTGAGCTGAAGGCAGACGCTGAACCGACTGAGCCACTCAGGTGTCCCCTAAATAATTTACTTTAAATAATCCATGGGTCAAAGAAAAAATAAAAAAGAAATTAGAAAGTAATTTAAACTGAATTAAAATCAAAATACAACCTATCAAAATTTGTGGATGCTGCTAAAGCTTAGAGGAAAATTTATAGCACTAAAAGCCTATGTTAGAAAAGAAGAAAGACCTCAAACAATGACCTCAGTTTCCACAAAAATAATAACAGCACATTGATCCCAAAGTAGGCAGAAAAAAAGAAAGATTGGAGTGGAAATAAATAAAATAGAAAACATAAAAATTGAGTAAATAAATGAAACAAAAATCTGGTTTCTTGAGAGGATCCATAATGTTGATAAACTTCCAGCAAAACTAATCGGGGAAAAAAGAGGGAAGACAAAATTACCAATAGTAGGGCTGAGAGATGACATTATTATGGATTCCATGCAAATAAAATGATGATAAGGAAATATCATTAACTTTTTGCAGATGAATTCTATAACTTAGAAGGAATGGAGAAATAACTGTAGAGATGCAATAGCAAGCTTACTCAAGAAGAAGAAGATAATCTGAATAGCACCAAATCTACTCAAGAAATTGAATTTGCAGTTAAAAAAAACCTATGCACAAGGAAACTCAAGACACAGATGGACTCACTGATGAATTCTATTGAACATTTAAGAAAGAAATAATAACCATTCTGCAGAAACACTTGCAGAAAATTAAAGGGGAGGAAATAGTTCCTAACTCATTCTAGGAGGCTAACCTGATTCTGATGACAAAACCAGATGAAGACATAACAAGGAAAGAAAACTGCAGACCAACATCCCTCCTGAAAATAAGTGCAAAACTTCTTCACAAAATTTTAGCAAATAAAATTGAACAACATATAAAAAGGACAATCATCATGACCAAGTGGCATTTATTCTAGTAATGCAAGTTTGGTTTAACACTCAAAAATCAATCAACGTAATTTCCCATATTAATGGAATAAAAAAGAAAAACCACATGATCATCTCAACAGCTGTGGAAAAAGCATTTGGCAAAAAGTACAATCCACCAAGAAGACATAAGAATTTTGAACTTTTGGGACGCCTGGGTGGCTTAGTCGGTTAAGCATCTGCCTTCAGCTCAAGTCATGATCCCAGGGTCCTGGGATCAAGCCCCATGTTGGGCTCCCTGCATGTTTCTCCCTGTCTGCTCCTCCCCACCCCACCCCACTTGTGCTCTCTCTCACTCTCTCTCTCCCAAATAAATAAAATCTTAAAAAAAAAAAAAACTTTAAAACTTGTTAGAGAAAAGTAGGAGGAAACCTTTGTTACCTTGGGTTATCAAAGTGTTCTTAGATACACCAAATGCATTTTGCACAATGCAAAAAAGAGATAAATTAGATTTCATGTTTACTTTGTAAGAGACAAGAGAATGAAAAGACAAGCCACAGACTCAAAGACAATATCTGCAAATCATGTATTTGAGAATGGACTCAGATCCAGAATTTAGAAAGAATTCTTAAGGGGTGTCTGGGTGGCTCAGCCGGTTAAGCAACCGACTCTGTTCCGACTGAGATCATGATCTCATGGGTCCTGAGTTCAAGCCCCAAGTCCGGCTCTCCACTCAGCAGGGAGTCTGCTTGAGATTCTCCCCCTCTGCCCCTCCTCCCACTCAGGTGCTTGCACTCGGGTGCTCTCGCTAAAATAAATAAATAAATAAATAAAGGAATTCTTAAAACTCCACAATGAGAAAACAAACAACCTAATAAAAAGATGAGCAAAGATAAAACGGTAACAATCACATAAGAAGATGCTCAACATCATTAGTCATTTGGGAAATGTAAATTCAAACCAAAATTAGATACTGCTACAAACCTTTTGAAAAGTGAAATTTAAAAACTAAAATTGACAATAGCAAGTGTTGACAAGATGGGGAGCAATGAAAATCTCACACACTGCTGGTGGGAATGTAAGATGGTGTGTCCCCTCTGGAAAATAGTTTGGCGGTTTCTTTTAAGGTTAAATATATGCTCACCATAAAATCCAGCAATCCCACTCCTAGTTACTTACCCAAATAAAATAAAAGCCTACATTAACACAAAAACCTGAATACAAATGTTTATGGCAGCTTTAGTCATAATTGTCAGAATGGAACCCCAGACATCCCTGAATTGGGAAATGGATAAATACACTGTGGTATATTCATATGACAGGACTATTCAACAATAAAGAATAAACTATGACACACAGAAGAACAGCATGGATAAATCTCAAAATAATTATGTTGAGTGAAAGAAACCAAACTCAATAAAAAAGAATACATGCCATATGATCCATTTTTATAAAATTCTGGAAAATGCAAACATATCTACAGTGAGGAAAAGTAGATCAGTGATTGCCTGGGACTGGAGGGAGGCAAGGAAGGGAGAGGGAGGGTTACAGAGGGTCATGAGAAAACTTCGGGTGGGTGAAAATGTTTGATATCTTGATTGTGGTGATAGTTTTAATGGCATATACATATGTCAAAACGTATCAAATTGTATACTTTAAATATGTGCAATTTATTGTATATCAATTACACTTCAATAAAGCTGCTTTTATTTTTATTTATTTATTTATTTTTTATTCTTATGTTAATCCCCATACATTACATCATTAGCTCTAGATGAAGTGTTCCATAATTCATTGTTTGTGCATAACACCCAGTGCTCCATGCAGAATTTGCCCTCCTCAATACCCACCACCAGGCTAACCCATCCTCCCACCCCCCTCCCCTCTAGAACCCTCAGTTTGTTTTTCAGAGTCCATCGTCTCTTATGGTTCGTCCATCCCTCCGATTTCCCCCGCTTCATTCTTCTCCTCCCGCTACCTTCTTCTTCTTCTTTTTTTTTTTCTTAACATATATTGCATTATTTGTTTCAGAGGTACAGATCTGAGATTCAACAGTCTTGCACAATTCACAGCGCTTACCAGAGCACATACCCTCCCCAGTGTCCATCACCCAGTCACCCCATCCCTCCCACCCCACCCCCCACTCCAACAACCCTCAGTTTGTTTCCTGTGATTAAGAATTCCTCATATCAGTGAGATCATATGATACATGTCTTTCTCTGTTTGACTTATTTCACTCAACATAATACCCTCCAGTTCCAACCACGTCGTTGCAAATGGCAAGATCTCATTCCTTTTGATGGCTGCATAATATTCCATTGTATATATATACCACATCTTCTTTATCCATTCCTCTGTCGATGGACATCTTGGCTCTTTCCACAGTTTGGCTATTGTGGACATTGCTGCTATAAACATCGGGGTGCACGTACCCCTTCGGATCCCTACTTTTGTATCTTTGGGGTAAATACCCAGTAGTGCAATTGAATAAAGCTGCTTTTAAAAACGACTTGCCTCTTTGTATATATTTAGATTCTTCTATGAGAAGGTATAACTTTCTCAGTTTGCAAACCATGATGGTCAGTTGTATGTGTCAACTGAGGTAGGCCATGGCAATTAATTATTCAATCAAACACTAATCCTGGTATTGCTGGAAAGGTGTTATGTAGGTAAGATTAACATCTACAATCAGTTGATTTTATGGAAAGGAAATTATCCTAGATGATATGGTGGGCCCAATCCAATCAGTTGAAAGGCATTAAGAACAGACCTGAAGTTTCCCTGAGGAAGAAGAAATTCTGCCTGTAGACTGCAGCTTTAGCTCCTGCCAGAGCCCCAGCCGGCCAGCCTACGGACTTCAAACTTGCCTACCCAGTCCTCAATCACATAAGCCAAGTACTGCAATAAATATCTTTATATATATTATATATGTTAATACATATTTTATATATATGATCTATTAGGATCATATATTATTATCCTATTGATCCTATATTATCAATAATTATAGATATGTATGTATCATATATATTATATATGATACTGGTCTGGATAGGATATATATAAATGTATATATTTATATATATATATGTATGTATTTCCTATTGCTGGTTTAGTTCTTTTTTTTTCTGGTATGAGAAAGTGGCCCTAAATGACCATAGTCCCTACTGCCACCACATTACCTTCTCAGCCTGCACCTGTGGCCTCAGGGAGAGTTCCCTCGGACCATTTGACTGAGGAGCAGTAACTCAGGATTAGTTTACAGATGGTTCTGCACAATATGCAGGCACCACCCAAAAGTGGACAGCCATAGCACTATAGCCCCTTTCTAGGACATCCTGGAAGAACAGTGGTGAAGCACTTTGAGCAGTGCACCTGCTTTTTCATTATGTCTGGAAAGAAATGGCCAGAGGCATAAGTCTATACTGATTAATGAGCTATGGCCAAAGGTTTGGCTGGATAGTCAGGGACTTAGAAGGGACATGATTGGAAAATTGGTGACAAGAAACCTAAGATGTAGGTCTCTCTGAATGGGCACAGAAGGTAAAGATATTTGTATCCCATGTGGATGCTCACCAAAGAGTGACCTCCGCAGAGGAGGATTTTTAAATAATCAAGTGGATAGCATGACCTGTTCTGTGGATACAAGTCAGCCTCTTTGCCCAGCCCCCCTTGTCATTGCCCATTGGTTTATGAACACAGCAGCCAGGTGGCAGGGACGGAGGTTATGCATGGGCTGAGTAACACGGACTTCCATCCACCATGGCCAACCTGGCTACAGCCGATGCTGAGTACCTAATCTGCCTGCAGTGGAGACCAAAACTGAGAGGCGGCGCCATTCCCTGGGGTGATCAGCCAGCTTACCTCATCGCAGGTTGATTACATTGGACTACTTCCATCATGAAAGGGATAGTGCTTTGCTCTTACTGGAACAGACACTTTGGATGTGGATTTGCTTTCCTTGCATATAATGCTTCTGCCAAAACCACCATCTGTGGATTTCCAGAATGCTTTATCCACCGTCATGGTATTCCACACAGCATTGCTTCTAATGAAAGAACTCACTTCACAGCAAATGAAGTGCAGCAATGGGCCCATGTCCATGGAATTTACTGGTATCACCATGTTACCCCATCATCCTGAAATAGCCGGCTTGATACAAAGGTTGAATAGCCTTTTGAAGATCTAGTTACAACACCAGCTAGGTGACAATACCTTGCAGGACTGTAGCAATGTACTTCAGGAGACTGTATATGTTCTAAATCAGCATTCCAGGTATGGTGCCGTTTCTCCCACAGCTAGGACTCATGCTTCCAGGCATTAAGGAGTGGAAATGGAATGTCACCACTCACTGTTACCCCCAGTGATCCACTAGCACAATTTTTGCTTCCCATCCTTGCAACATTATGCTGTGCTGGCCTGTAAGTCTTTATTCCAAAGGGAAGAATACTTTCTCCAGAAGACACAATGATTCTGTTGAATTGGAAGTTTGGACTGCCAGTTTGGGCTCTTCATATGCCTCTGAATCAACAGACCAAGGAGGGAGTTACTGTACTAGCTGAGGTGATTGATTCTGACTAGCAAGGGGGAAATTGGGATTCTACTACATAATGGAGGTAAAGTATGTCTGGAATATAAGATAGCCCTTAAGGAATCCCTTGGTACTACCATGCCCTGTGATTAAAACCAATGGAAAATTGTAACAACCCAATTTTAGGCAAAACTTCTAACGGCACTTCAAGACACTCAAGAATGAAAGTTTGGGAGCATTGTGCTAGGAAAAGAACTATAACCAGCATTAAGGTGCTTGCTGACGGCAAAGGAAATATGTAATAAGTAGGGGAAGAAGGTAGTTATAAATACCAGCTATGACTATCTGACCAATTGCAGAAATGGGGACTGTAATTATGATTAGTTATTCCTTATTTTATTATAAATATATTTATTTTTGTGTATATGTTTTTTCTTCCCTCTTATCCCCCTTGTATTCTAACATAAAACATATTAATAATAGCTAACTTTAGGGGTGCCTGGGTGGCTCAGTCAGTTAAGTGTCAGCCTTTGGCTCAGGTCATGATCCCGGGGCCCTGGGATCTAGTCCCACGTTGGGCTCCCTGCTCAGCCAGGAGCCTGCTTTTCCCTCTGCTGCTCCCCCTGCTTGTGTGTTCCCTTGCTCTCTGTCACATAAAAAAATCTTAAAAATAATAGCTAACTTTAAATTATTGAAGTTATAGGATTATCAAGGAGAGGAGTGAACATCACCCAGACTTTGCATCCTCTTCTGGGGAAAAGGTTAGCACATTTTCAGTTGTACACAGGATAATTGTATCACGTTAGGTGGAAGTATGACTTGTTATTAATTTGGAAATTAAGTACAGTTTAAGGAGATGCATATGGGTGCTGGGTTGACGAGATGTGGACTAAAATGATCAGTTTCATGTGATAACTTGGCTTGGCTCTAATACCTAGATATTCAACCAAATACTAATCTAGGTGTCACTGTGCAATTATTTTGTATATGTCATTAATATCTACAATCAGTTAACTTTATGTAAAGACTATCTCAGATAATCTGGGTGGACCAAGCTCCAACCAGTTGAAAGGCCTGAGGTTTCCCTGAAGAATTCTACCTGTGAACTGCAGTGTCAGCTCCTTCCTGAGCTTCCAGCCTCACCTTCCTTACAGCCTTCATGAATATTCCAGAATTACCTACCTGTCCCTGACAACTGAGTAAGCCAATTCCTGGTAATAAAGCAGATAGATTAGATAGGTGGATGGATAGATGGATAGATAGATGATAGATAGATAGATAGATAGATAGATAGATCAAATAGATAGCCTTCCTACTGGTTATGTTTCTCTGGTAGAATAGGTAAAAACTACTGAAAAAAAAAAATTGCATCCCCAAGAGTCAGCTTGTTTTTGACCCAAAAGGGATTACCCAACATATTCATTAGGCATGATCCCCAGAACTCCCAGGCAAATCCCAGGAGTTCAAAAGATTATCCTGATGAAGGCATGAATTGGGCAGGTCAGGGCAGCACCCCTACAAGTGTTCTGTCTTTCAGGGCATGCCTTTGGACATCTTAGTCCATTCATGTTTATTAAACCATATGCAACATGTTGGAATATTGCATAGCCACTTAAAAATACACTTTTTATACACTGAAAGGGAACATAAAATCTCACATCATTAATTGTTTCTAAGGAGGGAAACCCAGTCAGTGCTGGGGGACTGACGTGGAAGGAGAATTTTCATTTTCCTACCTTTGGAATATTGTTTTTGAAGATTTATTTATTTGAGAGAGAGAGAGAGAGAGAGAGAGCAGGGGTGGGGGATGGGCAGAGGGAGAGACAGAATCCCAAGCAGACTCCCTGCTGAGCATGGAGCCCCGTGTCGGGGGCTGAGACCCTGAGATCACGACCTGAGCTGAAACCAAGAGTTGGATGCTTAACCAACTGAGCCACCCAGGAGTCCCTACCTTTGGAATATTGAATCATGTAAATGTATCATCTAGACTAGGGTTTGGCAAACTATGGTCCACATGTCAAATTTGACCCACTGCCTGTTTAAAGTTTTACTGAAACACAACCATGCTTATTGGTTTATATGTTGCTTATGGCAGCTTTCATGCTACAATGGCAGAGTTCAGCAGTTGTACAACCATAAGCATGATGATGTCATATGGCCCACAAAGCCTAAAATACTTACTGTCTGACCCTTTACAGAAAAAAATTGCCCATTCCCATCTAGATTTTAAAAAATAGAAAAGTAGGGGTGCCTGGGTGGCCCAGTCGTTAGGTGTCTGCCTTCGACTCAGGTCATGATCCCAGGGTCCCGGGATCGAGTCCCGCATCGGGCTCCCTGCTCGGCGGGAAGCCTGCTTCTCCCTCTCCCACTCCCCCTCCTTGTGTTCCTGCTCTCACTATCTCTCTTTGTCAAATAAAAAAAATCTTTAAAAAAATAGAAAAGTAAATTGACATTAAAAAAAAAATAAAAGGTGCCCCAAGAGAATTAAAAACATATACATGAATGTTTATAGCAGCACTATTCACAATAGCCAACAAGTGGAAATAAGCCAAATGTCCCTCAACAGATACATAAACAAAATGTGATATATTCATATGATGGAACATTACTTGGCCAGAAAAAAAGAATGAAGTACTGATAAATGCTACAACACAGTTGAGCCTTGAAAACATTATGATAAGTGAAAGAGACGAGACACAAAGGCCACATTTGTATGATTTCATTTATATGAATGTCCAGAATAGGCAAATTCAAAAAGACAGGAAGTAGATAAGCAGTTTCCACGGGCTAGGGAGAAAGAGGAATGAGGAGTGACTACAAATGGGTGCAAAGTTTCTTTGGGGAGTGATAAAAACATCATGGAATTAGACAGTGGTGATGGTTGCACAACTCTGAATATGCTAAAAACCACTGAATTGGGGGCGGCTGGGGGGCTCAGTGCAGTCTGCTTCAGATTCTTTCCCCCTCTCCCTCTCCCCACTGGTGCACTCACTCTCCCTCTCTAAAATAAATAAAACCTTAAAAAAAAAAAAACCCAAACACTGAATTGTACACCATCACCAAATACAGGGTATTCCAGAGTTCAGTAGGGGGCTCAGCACCTAGTGATGAATTAGTCCCCTCTACCACCTCAAACTAGAATCAGAACTGGCCTGGGAGTCAGGAGACCAATTTCTACATCCCAGTTGTCCCCAACATCCATGTGACCTTAGTTAAGTTTCTTTCCCTGTCTGGTCATTTCCTTCTCTATAATATGGGTGCATATGGACAGGGAGCAGGGAGGCTGGTGTGACAAGATGTGAGGGGGCATCTGAAGGACCTGACTCCCCAGAATCCTTTATTCTTTCCCCAAGCTTTCTTGTCACAGATCCTAATAATCAGTATCCTCCTCATCACTTTCCAATTTCAAAGCACATTCACGTACATGTCATTTAATCCTCATAACCACCCTTTGGGGTAGATAGGTATTATCCCCATTTTCAGATGAAGAAATTGAGTCTCAGAGAGAACTTGCCCAAGTTCATACAATGGTCAAGTGTTGGAGCTGGGACTCAACCCCAGGTCTTCTGATTCTAGATCCTGGGTTCTACCCACACTACCACACTGTCTTTGCATGCTTAGCCTCTCTCTGGAAACTCAAGAGAGCAATGTCTAGCAGCTTCACCACAAACACTATACACCTTTGGACAAAACAAGAGAAGAGAGGCACAGGGAACTGGGGTCCTCTTTGATCTCTTATGAACCTGTCTATCCCGGTACGGTAGCAGTCTAAGCAGAGGAGTATGCCTCTACAGCAGTGTGGACACCAAGCCCAGGACATCATAAACATATACATACAGGTACACTTGACCTCTTCAACAGGTGACATAGCACACTCCTTGTTACCAGGGTGGTAAGGAAGCTATACCTTTAGTTCAGGGGAGGCCGAAGAGGTCAGAATTCTGGGATTCTGTTCTCTAAGTCCACAAGATTTATTTACCCCTCTGGTGAGACCTCAAGGAAGGGGCAGCTCCTCAATCCTTAGCATATGGGAGGAGCAAGAAGGGAGGGACAGGGAACTATTCTCCCTGCCCTTGCCAAAGCTGATCCCAGGAAAGGGAGTATCAGTGGAACCAGGGACTTGCTCCTGAGCTCAGAGAGCTGGGCCTCAACCTCAAGGATTATCAGTGAGACCACTGCTGCCAAACCCAGTTGAGCCCTAATGAGTCACAGTGCCTGGGCTCTAGAAACGCTACCAGCTACATGGGCTTTGGCAAGTCACTTGCCCTCTATGATTCAATTTGCTTCTCCAAAAATGTGGCTAATGACTGTTGGGTCTAGCTCAGAGGGGTGCTTGGAGGTTTCCAGGACATAAACAAACTGAAATGTTTTAAAATATACTTTATGATAAACATATGCTTTCATTCTTCCATAGCTGGCAAGAGGAGTGACCCACTCGCTCCTTCCAGGCAACAGGAAATTACACACAGGTTGGGCAGCAAGAGGGCATCAAGCCAGACAGAGGCTCTTCAGGAAAGGCTGGGCTGCCCTGAGGTAGAGGGGCTGCCCCAGCTCACTTACACTCTTCCTTTTTCATTTGACCAACCAATATTTATCAAGCATTTACTACAGGACAAGTGCTGTTCTGTGTGAAGATAAGGCAGCGAAGGAAAGAGAAAATGGCCCTGTCACAGAGTTTATATTCTAGTTGTGGGAGACCAACAAGTAAACAGCAAACATGTCAAACATTGGCAGGTTCTGTGCTGAATTAAACTGGGTAAGGTTAGTAGTCGTGGTAGGGAGGCGCTATTTCATACAGGGTAACAGGATGTCTGAGTAAAGACATGAAGGAAGTGAGGGGACAGTCTGGGGGACAGCCACACCTTAGGTCTAGGCTAGTGGACACAAATTCTGGAGACACACACATCCATAGCAACAGAGACAACTCCCTACCATGCTGGTCCGGTTTGCTCCCCTTGGATTTATTCTCTACTCTTTTCTGCTCTGTTGCCTCCAGATTGCATCCCTGGGTCAGCCTTGCCATCTGCCTTTCAGTTATGTTTAGCCAAAGGCCCCAGGAGATTGAAGAGGATAAAAAAGAGGTAGGCTATGGACAATCCCACTCTCTTTGCCTGGCCCCAGTTGACAGCGGCTGCATTCCTCTATACCACAATATCCATCTGCCTCCCACAGCTCCTTCTGGAACCCATCCCCAAAAAGCCTTGCAGGATTAGCCTTCCAGATGTGCAGGTGTACCTACCTGCGAAGGGATATGTTGTCCATGGATACCAGCTGGATGGCCTCTCACCAGGGCAGGAAGGGGAGTTTGGGCGCTAGAGATACCCGTCACAGACAAAATGTGAACCACGGCCTCACTCCCATCCCTCAGTGCTCCAGCTCTATCAAATTATTCATACCAGCAAAAGCAGGAACAGAATTTGGGGGTTCTAGAGTCCCTTAGGACCTCACTGCCCCAGAGGTAGAACGCTCTCCAAGATCCAGCCCAACTTCCCACCTGAAGGAATTCAATCTACCTACCTCCAACAATCAATAGCTCATTACCCAATTTATTTCCTTGATTATACATTTGTCACTATTGGAAAAAGCTCAATGTGTAGGCCTGCTCTACCTGATTAGACTACGTATGTCATCGAAGCACAGAATTTATCTTGCTCTGTGTGACAGCATCCTAGGCTCAAGCACACAAAACTCAGTACATGTTTTGCATCAGGGGCAACGGAAAGGAGGACAAAGCACCTCTGCTCCCTGACACTTCCACAACCGCTTGGCATCAGGGGTGGGCAGATACTCTCGGAAGTATTGCCCATCTCTTCAGGTGTGTGGGGGCAGGAGCCCCCAAGTGGGACAACCAGGATAATGCAGGAGCCAGAGAATCACTCAGGTTCCAAGCGTTTCCACCTTTCTAAAGATGCCCCACTTCTCCATAGGGTACAGGCCTCAGGGAAGCACAGGAGGAGGAGGAGGAGAGCTACGAGCTCCTTGGCCATAGGAGGGCTTGGCCAAAGGTTCTAAGAAGCTAAGCTCCTCCAGGTCTAAGACAGCAGCTGGAAAACTGCCATCTGGACCTGCGGCTGGTAAACAGGGAAGGCAACATGTGCTATAGCAAAAACCCCAAATGTGGCTCAGCTGGCCATCTCCAACAAGGGACCTAGAAAGCCTTGTGGGTGAGTACTGCTGGCTAATTCTCCCAGTTAAGGGGCCTCAGACTAGACCCTACAAATAAGACCTGATTCAAGCCCATCAGTCTCTCTTTGCCTGATCTCTCTTCAGCCCCCATTCCACTCCACCCTAGATACCCTCTACGCCCACCCATGTGTGGCACCACTGTCACCAGGGCAGCCCTTTGGACTCCCCTACCCCGCAAAAAACCCAAACAGCTCAGAAGTGCATCAATCGACCTTTAATGTCCAAAAGAGGCATGGATGCAGAGCATAGGAGATGTGGTGGGGTCTCAGCCCCTGCTCCAGAAATGAGGGAGAGATGAACACAAACCAGACATTTCCAACTGGCCACACAAGTCTGGGAAGGCAGGGGGAAACACAGATTTGGACATTCATAAAAAAATAAAACCTAAAACCAAGCACTCAATCTTGTGTGCACTGAAGGGTTTGATATAGGGAACTCACTCACCATCCCAGTAACCACCCTCCCCTGTCAGCATCAAAAAGAAAGCTCGGCACACACTAAAGGCTTGGGGAGGGGGAATTCTCCTGCCTCCCCACCAGCCCCAAGAATGGACTCAGAGGGAAAAAAAAAAGAAAAGAAGAAAGAATGAGCTGGATCCCAACCACCCTCCTCCCACAGTGCCAACCCTACAATGAGAGTTTTAGATGCGATTTACAAGAATCAGCAGCTCAGTCAGCAATGACCCTCCCACCCCCATCCCTGTTTGATCAACAGATAAGATTTCCCCCTGCACTCTCCTTGGAATCTCCTCCCACTAGCGGCCCTGCTCATCTCCTGATACCTGGCTTCACCACTGCAAGACTAATCCCCTCCGAAGTTCCTCCAAAGGTCCTTGCAGCCCTTTATCACTTCCATCCCCACCTCCCATAAGGACTGCAACCACCCACAAAGTCACTTTCCGTCTCCACTAAGAACCAGTTCCAGGGCAGATGGCATCATGGCCATCTCCTCATGGGCTATCCTCCCAAAGCCTTCTGGGGAACAGACAGCCATAGGGCAAGCAGTGTCTGGGCCAGATGGCCTGGGGGGGGGGTTGACAATGGTCTTCACCCCCAAAACAGACACCCCCAGAGGTTTTTAACATAAAGGCCCAATTAGAACTAACCGTGCAGCCTATCTACCCATACACGCTAGAGATTCCACACTGTCCTGCCCCTCCCTCCCCTCTACCCCAAACCAAGACACACACGCACACACACATATACACACATATACACAAAGGAGAATCAAGGGAGACATTGATTTGGTTTGATTGCTAAGACTTAACTAAGGAACTACAGTCACCAGAAATTCCCTTGCCAGCCAACTAACAGGGGCTGCTCTAAGAGAACTCCAGAGGAATGAGAAAACCAAGGGCTAAGCAGGGAGCAGACAGAAGGAGAGAAGAATGAATAGAAGAAAAATCAAGCTAATCCTACCCCCAACATCCTCCTAGCATGAGCTCCGGCAGGAAGAATAGAAGAAGGTAATCCACAAAGACACAGCCCTTACTTTGAAACTCTTCTGACAAAGACAGCAAGACAAGTCTGCTCCCCACTCCCACACACCACAGACAAACACGTCTCAGGGCCCCTCAAAGAATCCACCCCCCACCCCACCCTCTGCCCCAAGCCGTGGAATCACAGTTCAGTGGAATATTCTCCCTGGTACTAGATCAATCCCCCTAGCCTCCTTCCTATCCCTCTCTCCTTGCCAAGCCTTATGCTGCCCCCAGCAGCCTCTCTGGCCCTAGCAAAGCAGCACCCACCACCAGGAGGAGGTGGCTGCACAGTTTGAGTTCCGCCTCCAGAAACCGACTGCTCTCCCCCTGCCCTCCTAGTCTTACAGGCTTCGTTGAGGGCTTTTTTTTTTTTTTTTTTTTAAATGTAGGGAGAGAAAGAGAAGAGGGAGGGGTGGGAGAGATTTCCTAGTGCAATACAACCCAAGAAAAGATTTTAAAGTCTTGAAAAATAAACATAAAGCAGCCTTCTTCCCCAGGCAACTAAACAGAAAGAAGTTTGGTTTTGTTTACTGCGACATACACATGAAATCGAGTATACAGTCCATGCAGTAGCACAGCCATTGGAGAGGACATCCTGATGCTGGCCCCGGTGCAAAACAGTCCCAGCAACGCCGCCTGCCTGCCATCGCTGCCGCCGCCACGGACACCTCCACTGCGGCCTCCTAGCCGGACTTGAACAGGAGGATTGCAACTTGACCCAAGTAAAAATAGATGAAGTGCTTTGTCTCGTGTGTAACATAGCTGCCAAAATTTCGGCCCACGATACAATGCCAGGTAGGGTTATATTTCTTGTCAAATTCCTAAAAGAAGAATAAAAGGGAGAGAAGAAAGGTGATTAGGACAGCTGGAAGATGAGAAATCGGAAGAGGAATCGGATTAATTTAGTCATCACCCCTCACCCCACCCCTAGCCCACGGCCTCAGCTCCCCAAACCTCAGGAGCTCAGGTTAAGGCTGGCTAGGACAGTCCTTCCTTCATTAATAATGGAACACTGCAAAGGCTCTATTATTTCTCTCTAGCACTTTACACCCCGATCATCTCTCCTCCTCCTCCTCCTCCTAGCTACCCTACTCCGTAGTCCACCCTGTGATTCTTTAGCAAAGGAGTCAGGAAAGCCCAGGGCATGAGAGACCACTCCAGTGTCACACAGCATGAGGAAAGCAGAGGAGAGCCTCCCTGACTTGCCACCTGCTGCCTCCCACATTACTAAACCAGCATTTCCAAATGCCACGAACCCAGACCCTAGAGCCAAACGTCAGGAGTACCAGGAAGCAGTTCTTTGTAAGTCAACATTAAAGGCACTCCTGTGTGCCAGGTACTGTGTGGGCTGTAAGCAGCAGAACAAGGACATCGGCCATGAGATCAAGGCAATTCCCTCACTTCTCTCAGGGGCACAAGTTCAGCATCAAAGCAACCTAGGAAATCCTTATGACCTAATCAGACAGGCAGTTCCCAGTCACTCCATAGATCCAGCAGGAAACAGATGGCTCAGGAGATGCACCCCACCATGCAAGAGACCTCCACCATGGACCCAGCAAAGCTTCCAACCCTGGGACTGTCCCCCAGGTTCTTAACTTACAACTTGTTTGGCCTCCTCACTGCCCCCTACACCAAGGGACTCCAAGAGGTATTAGGGAACAGTGGAAAGGGGATGGGTCACCACATCCAGCCCTAATGCAGACTCTGTAATATAGGAGAGCCCTAGTCACTTCCCTGGTTCTCATTTTCCCCATCAGCAAAACAAAGAAGCTAGGCCAGATATAATCTAAGGATTCTCCTGACTCAGAGTCCATGATTCTGGATCCTCCTCCCTGTACAGGACAGATAAGGCATCACTCAGCCAGGAGCCGGCACCCCGAGCTGGCTCTTCACCCACTGGCTCCTTATACAGATAGTCTCTCAGGACTCGAGTTTCCTCTTCTCATCCCACCCTGCCTAAGTAGGAAAGCAGAAGTCTGTAAAACTTAAGGATGCCCTACCACCTCTATGGACCAGGAAACCACTACACTTAGGCATCTCTTTTGGGATACTAGGGCTGAAAACATCAAAGACTGGGATTATGACACTAGCAGACATAGATTCTGACTGGGAATCAGAGGCCCTGGTACCACTTCTCACTTCTAGCTCAGCGGCTTCCTGTGTTAACCACATTCATTCACCCATTCGCTCAGGAATTTTTCAGGGACTAAACCTATTACCCCAATATTGCTCATCCATTTTTAGCAAATTATATATTCAAGCCCACCCTTTTCTTAAGAAGGTGAGGAGAAGGAGATGATATAGTACCTGAATCCTTTTCAAGAGAAAGAAAACTTCCTATATGATAGGATTATAGGGATACCCCACTTTAAATGATGCAGTTCCTTGAAAAATTTGTATATGATCTTATATTAGCTATTCAATTATCCTTGATCTATATTTTGAATAGTTCTGAACTGAGCCAGTTACATTTGATCCTAAGCTTCTCTCCCCAATGCTTTGCAGTCACATAATTATCTATAAACACACATACACACACACACACACACCACACCACACACATAAGCACACCTCAGCAGAGTTCCTATTAAGAACTCCAAAGGTGAATGCTTTGGCAAGAATCATTCCCTAATTTGTCTGCTTTGTAAGCTCGTGGGTTTTGTTTGCATGGACTATACCTGCTTTCCTAAGCCCTCAGTTCAGATCTCCCTGGGGCACAGCTCAGATGCCCATCCCTACCCCTAGCCAATAGCCACAGCATTCTTGGTGCACCTTCTTGATATAGGCAGCAATGTCCTTCTCTATGTTGTACTTCTCCATAGCCTGCGTGGCGCAGTCAACGGCATCCTGTTGCATGTCCTCAGACATGTCTGCGTTCTTGATCACTGCCTTCCGGTCAGACATCGTGACACTGCAGAAGAAGCAGAGAGGTCAAACTGACAACCCCATGCTCTAAGCAATGAACGTTAGCAGCTGAGGGTGGAGCCTCAGTGGGGGAACAGAGTACAGAAGGTGATGACAACAGAAAACACAGACATGAGGCATTATTAGAAGAGGGAGGTCCTAAGCTTTTAGCAAAGACCTGGTCCCCAAACCTGAGAAATACAAGGTAGATAAGAAAAAAAGACATAATAAGCCATCAATTTTTATCACTTGTAAAACAAGGCTTTTCCAACTCTAAATTTATCTCTGATATTTTAAATAGCACCAATTGCCAAGATATTACAATATATCACCTACTAGCTGTGTCCTTGGGCAAGTTACCCTTTGTACTTTCATACCATCATCTTGAAATGGAGACCTCAGGGTTACTGAGGGCAAACCAGGTGGCATTAACACCTGAACACCACAAGCCCTTGATTTAATGACCATTATTGCATCATTGGTAACACAGTGGAAAGAAGATGGACTAGAATCAGTAGGCCTGACTTCTGGTCCTGACTATGAACTCTTGTAGTCTTGGACAAGTCACTCAGCCTTACTGCATTCATTACTTCCATTTTAGCAATGAAGATAGCTCTCTATCAGGGGTTGTTGTAAGGATTAAGGCTCTATGAGAACATCTGCAAACAAGGAGTGTACACTGGGGTCTGTTGGCCAGATTCAGCCCACCACCTGTTTCTGTAAAGTTTTACAGAACAGTCAACAATGGCAGAGTTGAGTAGCTGCAAGACAACGCAAGGCCTGTAAAGCCTAAAATATTTACTATCTGGCCTTTCACAGAAAAAGGTTGTCAATGCCCAGCAGTGACAGAGATAACAAAAGGTGAGGAATTATTTTAACAGCCCCGTTTCCTATCCCTGCTATCTAAGCCTTGGCATTCACATCCTACAGCAACCAGAATTCTGGGGTAGACCTCGCATGGTCCGTTCCTGGGATGACAGGAATCCCAAGAAGGCTGGTCAGAACCTGCCTGGCAGTCTATAGCATGTGAGTGCTTTGCGCGAACAGAAGAGATGAGCTGCAAAAACCAATCCTCTGTCCTTGACCACAGTCCCATCACACTGATCCCCCATACCACCCCCCCAAAAGAGGACTCTGTCACCCAGCCCAGTAGACAAAAGATGTCGTCATTCCAGCCCTGTCGGATATTAAGGCTACACAGGAGGCCTCCCTGCTCAAGGAGAGATCCCTGGTATCATTCCAGGCCACCCTGATCTCTGCGTCCACACTAGCCTGTGTGCTGGGTGGACTGAAAGGGAAGCAGAACTCATGATTACTCCTTTAGCCTGCACCAGATGCAAAGGAAGCATACATGCCAGCTGCCAGCCACACAGCCCTTGACCGCACCCAAGGCACCTGAAACTAAACGGCGGGTTCTATTTCAGCAGAGACTGGAAGAGGAAAGGGTTAGCGGACCAGCAAAATCCGACCCCACACCCTTGGAGGAAAAGTCAGAGCTTCAAGGAGTATGTGAGCACCAGCAGGTGCTGAGGAAAAGGTCAGGAGAACCCTGTTCAAGGCCTGACTAGCTAGCTACGTGACCTTGGGCAAAGCAACATTCTTCATTTTAAAAACCCATGGCTGAAATAAGATAAACGGGGAAACTTCAATGAGTTTGAACAGACATACAACAGCAAAAGAGGAAGAATGTTCTGATTATTACAAGGCTCTTCGTATTTGAAGAAAACTAGTGTCACCTGGTGGCCTATTCCAGGTTACCACTCAGAAGGGGGCACTGTTTACAAACGCAAGGGTGGGGGTGGGGCCCGGTTAGAGACTGTGAAGTTAAAGCATGAAATTGGCACCGGTTTTCCCAGCAAGCTCACCTGCTCCACCGCCTCATCCCCAAAGTCCAAAGGAACAACTTTGTCACAGTAACTAAAAGCCACCTTACTCTCTAGTAGCAGAGAGCCTGAGGTTACATAACATCGGTCTTGTGACTACAATGCTACGATTCTTCACCCCTGGCCCCCCAGGCGTCTGAGGGGTGAGGCCTAGCCCCAACCTGCCCTGTCCAAGGTGCCAGTGAGAAAAGGATAAGGTGGTGCCCGGCCTACCCACCTCCCTCCTGGGACAAAAAAGCAAGGAACCTGGGCCTCCGGCAGAAAGATGACCAGAAGGCCCCAGGCCAGCTCCTCAGTTAAAAGCCAGGGGCTCTTTGGAAAAGCGAAGAGGGCACTCCAGGACAGCTCTCCATCCCCTATCCCCGGTTTTGCGACAGGAAAGGCCAAGTCTCCGAAAGACCTGGACCACCCTCCCCAGCCCCCAACACACACAAATGCTGGTACGCCCTCCCCTGAGATCTCCAAGGGGGCTTATCCCTCCACCATGGCATCCTCCGCAGAGCTGCGGCCCCCAAAGGCCAGCACCTCGGGCATGAGAAAGCATCCTCCCCCCAACCTCCGCCCCGGCCGGTCAGCCGCCCTCCCCCGCCGGGCCTGGAGCAGCGCCGGAGTGACTGGGCGTCCTCGCTGCAGGAAGGACGCCCCAGAGGGTGGCGGCGGCAGGAGGCGCCGCGTCACGCCCGAGCCCTCTCCACCCCCTCTCCCTCGGCCCCGAACACCAGAAGCCTCCACGCAGCGCAGGGAGACTACCGGCAGTGCGGGGCGGGGGGGGGGGGGGGCGCGGGGAGGAGGCGGGGAGCCGCACCTCCGCAGCCCGGGGCCTCCGGCCGCGCCCGAGGGTCGCGAGGGCACAGGGTGGCGCAGCCCTGGGAAGGAGGGGCGCCGAGGGCGTCACGCCGAGGCCAGCTCTGCTCCGGGCCTCGGGGCGGGCCCCGCGCGTGGGGCTGCACGCGACGGGCGCGGGCCGCCGCCCGGGGGACGCCCCCACCGACCGCTCACCTTCACGGAGGCTAGTCCGCGCGGGGCCCCGGGGGAGCAGCGATGGCCTGAGGCAGGGCGCGGGCAGGGGCGGTGTCCCCTCGGCTCCTCCTGCAGCAGCAGCAGCCGCCGCCGCGGTCTCCGGCTCCCGCGGCCCCGGGCCGATCGCTCGCCGCCGCCGTCCGCCCTTCGAGCTTCCCCGGCCGCCCGCGCTCCGCCTCGCGCCCGCCGGCCCGCCCGCCTGCTCCTCGCTGGCGCCTCGCTGCTCCGCTCCGCTCTGCCGCTGAGCACGGCCGACGCGCGGCCCCCGCTGAAATAGCGCCCCGCCCCCGCCCCCCCGCCGCGCGCGCCGCCGTCCGCGCTCCCCATTGGCTGCGCCCGCCCGGCCCCGCACTGCGGGCTTCTCCCCGCGCCGCTCTCGCCCCACATCTTGTTTCCTCCCACAATGCCTCGGGGCGGAGGGAGGGGGAGCGGGGAAGGGTGGGGGGAGGGAGATGGGGCCTTAAGAAGAGAAAGAAGAATGCAGACCACTCCACCCAGGGCTAGGAGGCAGGCCTAAAAAGGAATAAGGAGGCGAGGCTTAGAGAGAGGGAGGGGTGTAAAGACCCCAATGCCAAGAAGAATAAAGGGAGAGAGAGAGGGATGGAGATTTCAGACCCTGGGAGCAGATGGGGAAGGGGTAGAGATCCTAACCTGAGGAAGAGGAAGGGAAAGGAGGTGAAGTCATCAGCCTCAGAGGGAAAGACAGGACACCCCTTCCCTCCCCCCAGATCTGTAGGAAGGAGAGGAACAGCCAGCTCTACGGAGAGGTAAAGGCATAAACAGCCCCAGGGCTCCCCTTCCCTTAAATTCAGGAAAAGTCCCTTCCCCACAGCAGCTCAGCCTTTGTTCCCGAGTCTCAAGGCCACAGGACCTCAACTCCCAGCTGGAGCCCCAGCTGCTGTTTATCATCAAGAGCAATATGGACGCAGACCCTAAGCCCAGTTGTGAGAAGGGAGGTTGGTCTTTGGCACGCAGGCTCCTGGGGTAGAGGTGAGAGGAAGCCATTTCTGGTCGGTCAAGACCTGACGGGGAGTGCATAGAACCCCCGAGAGGAGCGAACCGTAGTCTGGCAGAGCTGTGGGGAAACTTAAAAGTCAGCCCATCCATATTCCTCACCTTATAGAGGAGAGAACCAGAGCACAGAGGGGGCAGAGCCCTCCCCAGATCACCACAGGTCAGGCCTGGTTCTGGGCTTCTAGGCTGAAAAGTGGTGCTTCTAGGCAGCGGCCCCTCTGGTGGCTGAAGAGGCTCTCTGTGGGAGTGTGTGTAAATGCCTGTGAACTTTGGGAGAGAGGGCCTGCCCTCCACTCTACCCCACACGCCTCCAGAGAACAGGATAAGTCTGCCTTTATCTTCCCCTCTGTTTCACAAAGGAATTGTCTACCTAAGGGGGTGGTGAGATTCTTTATAGGGAGCCACGCATTTGGGCCACACAGTGAGGATTAAGAAGCTCCCCTTCCCATCATTTTCCCTTCACTGCCCCAAACTTTGGTCAGGAAGTCGGACTTGCTCTGGCCGTGGTCTGCTCTGGTGTGGAGCATTATGATTTAATATTCATTATGTGTCAGGGGAAACCTGGAAAATCATGCCCTCCCACTTCTGCTTTCCACAGCTCTGTCATCTCCCAGCCTCAGTTGGCATTCCAGAGAAACAGACAAGGCCTGATGTATCCCCTCACACCCAGGGTATTCTGATGTCAGCCTCTGTGTGAATGAATGGGGGGCGGGGCACATGTGGGTAAGAGGGAGGAGATGAAGGATACTTGATCGCCTTAAGGCTTGTGCAGAGCTGATTTCATGGACTACTGGGAAGAGAACTTGTACCCTCTTTCTCCAGTGGTCATTAGCTTCCAGCCCCTTCTATGGCCTGAAGGTCAGAACTGCCATGTATGGTTGTGCAGGTTGTTCACTATACAATGACATTCAGCCTAAAGAGCAAGTGGGGGCTAAAATATAGCTTGCACTTCACTTGCTAAGCTGTGTGCCCTGGTACAGGCCAGTGTTCACCCAAAAGATGCATACTTTTTTTTCAAGTGTCCATGAAGGTGACTGAACTAGTGGTGGCCCTTCCAAGGCCATACTGCTGGCATATAAATCCTCCCTCTCCCTGGCCCCATTGCCTAGAGTAGCAAGTATTTGGTCATTTCCAGTCCTGGGAGATGGTGGGGTGGACACCAGAGAACTTCAACTCACAGGAGTCAGAACGAAGGCTTTGACTTTTAAGAAATGTGGGTATCGGGTGCCTGGGTGGCTCAGTTGGTTAAGCGACTGCTTTCGGCTCAGGTCATGATCCTGGAGTCCCTGGATCGAGTCCCGCATCGGGCTCCCTGCTTGGCAGGGAGCCTGCTTCTCCCTCTGACCCTCCCCCCTCTCATGTGCTCTCTCTCTCATTCTCTCTGTCTCAAATAAATAAATAAAATCTTTAAAAAAAAAAAAATGTGGGTATCAGCGTGTGTGTGAAATATGTGTGAGAAAGACTTAAGGCTCTGAGATGTCAGGAAGACTTGCTAATAATAGTATGGTTTATAGATAATAATTAATATTTATAGAGCCCTCACTCTGTGCCGGGCTCTAGTCTAATTGTTTTCAATGCATTGTTGCATTTAAATCTGGAACAATCGCAGTGAATAAGTATTACTATCTTCCTGTTCAGATGTGGAACCTGCCTCTTAGAGAAGTTCAGTAACTTGCCCAGGATTACCTTGCTTTTGTCAATGCAGGCGACAGCCCCAGGCTCTCTGTGCCCCGGGCCTCTACTCTTAGCCCATTCCTCTAGATCCCACCTCCTAACAGAGAAAGGAAAAAAGTGTAAACCGGGGGGTTGGCTGTCTACCTGAATGATACCAGCATCTTGTAAACTTACCTGATTCTGAAGCCCTTTTTGATCCAAACATTTATTAACCTCTCCAGGAACTACTATTCCACAGGACACAGTTAGGGAAACATGCTATAGTAATTACGGCTATTTATGTGAAATGCTTACTGTTTAGGGTAATCACTCTGCAATGTAATAACTGCTGTCATTACTCTGTCGGCTTAACTTGGCAGACCTTTTTATATGAAGCCACTACACCCCCGTGATTGCCCAGTTATCTGTTGCCCAGATGGCAGACCCATGTCTTCAGATTTAAAAATCAGAGGAAGGGGCGCCTGGGTGGCTCAGTCGGTTAGGCGACTGCCTTCGGCTCAGGTCATGATCCCGGAGTCCTGGGATCGAGTCCCGCATCGGGCTCCCAGCTCAGCAGGGAGTCTGCTTCTCCCTCTGACCCTCCTCCTTCTCATGCTCTCTGTCTCTCATTCTCTCTCTCTCAAATAAATAAATAAAATCTTAAAAAAAAAATAAATAAAATAAAATAAAAATCAGAGGAAACTTTCGTTCTTGTCTTCTCTGCAGGCTCCTTACCCTCCCCCTCCTTCTTTAAACTGAGAGTTCCCCCAAGGCACTGTGCTTTGGTGACTGTTCAACTTGAGTAGTTTCATCCACATTCATGGTTTTTTACCATAATCTGAGTCCTGATGGCTCCCCCTAATTCTCAGCACTCTTTACTGTGGGTGTCCCACAGACTCCTCAGACTCTTCAGGTACATGTGTATAAAGCCTGGTCATTGGGAGCATTGGTCCTGGGGCCAGAATGCCTGGATTTGAACCTCTTTCCACCACTCTACCAGCTGTGCAGAACTGGTCAAGCTATTCATCATCTCAAAATTTCATTTTCCTCATGTATAAATCAAGAATAATACCTATTTCATAGTTATGAGAAGATGCATTAAAAACTCTTGGCATGATGCCTGGTCCACAGAAGTGATTAATAAACGTTAGCTATCATCAACATTTCTTTTCCAGACTTGTTTCCCTTCCTTGTATTTCTTACCTCAGTTCATGGCCCCATTATCCACCCAGGGACCAAGTCAAAAACCTGTGAACCCCCTCACCCACCCCATGTCTGTCATCACTCAGCTCTTGACTATTTTTCCAGCCCCCATCCGCTTTCATTGTGAATACCCTGCATGGGGAACTCATCATCTCTTCTAGTTGGTTCCCGGCCTGCAATCCTGGCGGCTCCTCCCCAGTCCACACAGGGAGATCTATCTAAAATGCAAATCTCCCAGGCACTTCCCTCTTCTCTGCTCAGAAAAAAAAAGACTGCTCTTTCCCATAACTTACCTCCCCCATCTCACCCTCCACATCTCCCCACCCCACCTTCTCTCCCCACACTTCCCATCTCCCTCTTTGTGCTCTAGTAACACCAGCTACTGCCTGTGGTTTCCCCACACCCAGATTCCACACCTTTGTTCATGTGGT